TATTGCCACATTTTGCATGATACCCCCACATTTGTAGAATTTATACGAAGGCTTTCAGCCTCTCCAAAAATTCATGTGTCAAAAATTCATATGTCACAATGATTATGAAACTCTCAAAATCATATCACAGAAAACATATTCCCACGTCGTCATTAACCAAATTAGGTCTTTCTCAAATTCAAGGCACCAAAATAAGTTTGGTCCAATATGTCACTATGATGCTAATAGTCTAACTATTAGGAAACACAACTCTAGTGTTCAATAGTCTACCATTCAGAACTTCATAACATAGCCAGTAGTCTTATCACTAAGAATCACTAATTTCTCGGCATGTGGTCAGTAGACTTTCTACCATTAGGAATCACAATGTTTTGACCTATGATCAGTAGTCACTTTACTACTAGGAATCACAACGTCCTAACATAAGATCAATAGACTCTTACATTACTAGGAATCATCATGTTTTGACATATGATCAGTAGCCTCTCCATTACTAGGAATCATTATGTCTTGACATGTGATCAGTAATTTGTTCACTACTAGGAACCATAATCTCATAACTGTGTAGTCAATTGTCTAACAATTCCTAGGAACCACCAGTTTTCTATCTCTGTGATCAGTGATTTTGTACTCATTAGGAGCCACCAATATAAGAATATATTTGGAATTTTAAAAAAATTCAAAAATATATTGACCCACCCTAACGGGTTGTCTCATCTTTGCTTTCAAGTAAAGTTACATAGCAATCATACATGTTATAATTGACACAAAGATAACATACTAATTGCCTCTGCTTAATTCAAAGATATTATCATGCAATCTTATGATTTCCTTTAATCACACTTGGTCTCTCTAGATCTTCCTTGAAGAATCTCGCAAGACTTTGTCAGGTGGAACAACATTTTCTGTTGTCACCTCTTGAAGCCACTTATGAAAAATCACTACAGAACTTCATTATTCTGTTTTTGATCTCACCACTTACCCTAGAATCGAACATGGTCAGGAAAGTTTCTAGGAAGACTGGAGTGGTCACACCGGTCCCACTTAAGACCTAGTTAACCTTAGACAAAACTTTCAAGAGCATATTGATTTCTAGTCCATGAGAAACAAATTTAGAATTATGTTTTTTCAAGGGATAAACTAGGTTAAAACAACCAAGTTTACAAAACATATAAGTAATTAAAATTTGTTATCAGAATTACACCACTCATAGAAGTTAGCCGGTACTCCCAGAATTGAGCCCATTATTTCTGAATAAAAATCAGAAATATTTTAGCTAATGCTAAAAGTTGGTTTCTTTTCCCAAAACAAAACACTTTGAAAATAATCAAATTATAACCAAAGACTTTCTCAAAACTTGGTTTCCTATCACTATGGGAATAAAAGATTAAACCCAAAGATTTCCTCTAACCACAAAGGTTTGAAACCAAATCCGTTTTAATTGCCATTTGTGAACAAATCAGAAACACTCTTTAGCCAAGGCTAAACTTTGGTTTCCATTACAGAAAACCAAAACACTTTGAGAATAATAAAATTAATCCCAAAGATTTTCTCTAAACCTGAGGGTTTATAATTTCTACCATTCCTCTTTTCCTTTCACTATGGTGAAACTATTACAAATTAGAAATTAAAAACACTACAAATGGAAATGGAAATGCAACTGTTACAATTACAAATTGTCTAAATTTGCAAAACAGAGTTCATAGTTGCGTCCATAATCATTTGTTTAGCCAAGTACACACTCTCCACTTGTAATGCTTATCTTTGTATAAAAGACATTACGAAACTCTATCCTCGTTGCCGCTAAATTTTCTTACTTATTATTCATATACACAATTGGATACAAGATAAGTTAATGAACCAATAAAGTGAATATGACACAAGTAATTTTAGTTATAACTTGCAATATGTAATTCAAAATCTATGAATGCATTATAGTTACAAGAATGTCATGAGTTACATGGTTATATATCAATTATACATAAAGCAATATTATGGTTATAATGTTGGCAATCCAACCATGCAACTATAAGCAAATATATATAACAGTAGAGTTAAACTCCCACTTATCATTCCATGAATACAAAAATATTTTGGAGTAATTTCCTTGATAACCTATCAAGACATGAAAGAACTCACAATTGATATAACCAAAAATAAATAGAATAAATAATAGTTAATATCACTACAATACCAAGCTATACCACCATGCAATAATACAACACAATCATAAGCAAGCTCAGAAATAAGACCAATATATAGAAAAATCAAAACCATTTTACTAAATTTTCTCCCCAAACAACCCTGTTTAGATATTCTATATTGTCGAAAACCTCTCAACTAGCTGAATCTCTTGAAATTCTCAAAACATGAATTCTAATACTTTGATTTGCCTAGAATTTAATTAATCGAATTAAATCGAAATGGTTAACAAACTTTCAAAACAATATACAGAACAAATTCGAAATAAAACCCAACATTAAAGCAAATATTTCAATTTACAGATATGTCCAAAAAAAACTGAAAGTCCAACTTATTCTTTGTTCCACGCAAAGGTTGTGACACCCTGAACGTTTAATTAATACCACATAAATATTTATAGTTATATATAATTGTGGTGGTATGTGATAATATATTATTAAAACAATAAATAAATAAATAAATACTAATAACAATAATAATAAAATAAATATATGAAATAAGAATAATAAAAATAAAAATAATAAAATAACTAAGCTATACGCGCTATCAAATATATGAAGATAATTATTTAGGGGCTAAATTAATCACTAATCAGTGTGAAAAGATTGGAATGTTTAGATTTAGTTAAATAAATCAAGTAATAATGAATTAGGAAGATTTGTTTTAATTAGTAGGATTTACGAAAATTTGTTTTAATTAGGAGGATTTGCAAATATTGCTAAGAAGAAAAGGAGGAGGAGCCATCTGTAAGTCTAAGTATAGGGGGAGAGGTGAGTCATCATTTGGGGTTGTTAATAAAGGGTGAGTCATCACCCAACATGTGTATATAAATAAGAGGAGGGTTGTAAAGCTGGTTCTAGCGTGAAAAAAATAAATAAAAAAAGAATCAGCGAAAAAGGGAGAGGTCGAAAACCAACATAAATAGAAAGGAATTAGTAAAACTCAATTTTAGGTGAGTTATATTATATCTTGAGTCATCATAATATATTTTACGTATGTTTTGCTTTACCATAATTTATTTTATACAAATTACATTTTATAAATTATATTAATATTTCAATTACATGAATTAATTTCTAAACTCTATTTGTTTAAAATGAAACATATGGATATGTTTGTTTAAATTTTAGAAAATATTTGACTATGACCTTATAAGCAAATATGTTTTGTAAGTACCACCATGGGAGTTCCATGCCTTGGGGGACTTAAATAACCATTGGCCTCTGTTTAGCCACTTTGTGGTTCTCTGTTGTCATGGATCCATTGACCTCTGTTCTGACTATCACTCCCGTGACCTCTGTCCTGTTCAGTTCTGTACCGTGGTTATGGTTATTTATTTACATGATTTCTATATTTCAGTATCTGCCACTTTAAATAAATTGTTGTTTCAAATTAAATTATGCAAATGGTTTAGTCTAACTAACTATTCATGGTTATTTTGTATTCCCTATACTCTTGGCATAATATTTCTCACTCTGCTATGTGCTTATAGCTGTTACCCTTTCACGTGACGAGATGTAAGGGAGACCCATAACCTCACGTAGTGGAACTCGCACGAGAATTTGATGTTGGACCACTATTTTGTTTTTCTTTTCTTTTCTTTTTTTTTTTTTTTGCTCTCTTTTGTTTTTACTCGAGGCTAGTCACTGAATAATAAAATAACGAAAGCCCTATAGATGTATTTTCTCTTATTAAAATAGTAAAATAAAGTAAATTTTCTGTTTAATTATTTTTATTTTCTTTTGCCTCCGCCGCGCCATTTAATTTGCCACAATTAGAATAAATTAGTGGGTTGCGATTCCAGCCCTAAGCCCCTGGGGTTGGGTCGTGACAAAGGTAATCTTGTTCAAATCACAAATTAGTAGTCTAATGTACTAATTCCAATTTATTTTATTTGTTTGTATTATATTTCATCATTTTTCGCTTAGATAAACCTATAAAGAAAGTTAAATACAAAAGAAAACAATTAAACAAATCAAATAAAATAGTAAGAATATTACATAATAAAATTTTTATTTTTATAAACTCCTACTATTGTCACAGATAGGCAACCCAAGAGGGGGGTGAATTGAGTTATTAAAAATTTCACAATATTAAAATTAACACAATATTCAGAATTTTAATAAATAAAAAAAAAAACAGAATAATAATTATCAATATAAAAGTAGAAGAGATAGAGAGAGAAAATCAAACACTGCGATTTATAGTGGTTCGGCACGCCAGGCCTACGTCCACTCCCCAAGGAACCTCCTTGAGAATTTCTTTACTATCAATTGAATAAATACACCACCAAGCTTGTGGATTTGGCACAGGACTTACTTTTATCTATTGAGCCTCACTCAACAATAAATGCCTTACCCTTACAAAATCTCTCACAAAAATAAGGAATAAGAATAAGTGGTACTTGAACCCACTTTTACAATAATTCTCTCACAAAGAGTAGATATGAAAGTGTAAGAACAAAGGCTAGACTTAGATCTGAAAGTGAAAGAGCAGAATACAATGTACTCAGAATTTTGGAGCTTAAGAAAGTTTTCTCTTCAAGTTCTTGATTTTTTTTCCACACACAACACTTCTATTTATACACAAAAATATACTCGTTGGACGCTCCTTACACTACTAAAAAAAATACTTTTTGCGACCGCTATAAACCGTCGCAAATAATAAAAAACAGTCGCAAAAAACTTTTTGCGACGGCCCATGCGACGGCAAATGGGGGTCGCGAATATGGGGGTGGCAAATACTTTTTGCGACGGCTTTGCGACCACCTAAACTACTTATGGCGACCCCTATTTTGCCGTCGCAAAAAACAAAGAAAAATACTAACATGATCTTTGGCGACCATCTTGTTACCGTCGCAAAAAATTAAAAATAAAAATAAAAATAAATAAATAAATAAACAAGTAGACACAATTGTACAACTAGACAAGTTTATATCCTCCCCTTGGTACAGGTAGACACAATTGTACAACTAGACATAACTACCAACTGATAGCTATGAAAAGAAAAGAATGTGTGCCTTTAAAAGAGAGATGCAATTGAACTATGCTCCTGAAACAACTTTGGCAACAGTACTCTGAATCGTTGTAACTGAATCCACAGCAGACTTCACAAACCAACTGATCCCCACTTTCAAACGGTGCTCGTCTGTAGGCAATCTCGCCAAGTATGCTATTTTCCTCACTGCATAAGAACAAATAATAATAATAATAAAAGTGGTAAGAAGATAAAAATCAAAATGGGAAAGCAAAACCACTGGACAAAAGGAGGGCGGATTTTACCAGTATGACCTATAGGACCTTCCAAGGTTAGCCCCTCCAAGAAACTTGGTGAAATAGCAGCATCATTTCTCCCAAGAGTCATCATCTCACCTAAATTCTGGAATCTGACATCCAAATTGGGCAGGTTAGATAAATTGATGCTTTTTTAAAGGTAATAAAATGTGAGCTTTTTTTTTGAAACACAAGGGACATAATACAAACAAACACTACACAACAATTTTCAGTGGCAGTCACTATCAAATACTCCATAGATGGTAAACATAGAAGAATCGTGGACTTGCCTACATATCATATGTTCATACCATCCATCAGTCAATGTCATGCCCTCAGACCTTGCAAACATGAAGATGTACACAGACATGTGCAGAGAGAGAGAGAGAGAGATCCTATCATCCTGATGTTGAACAATAGGATATCATGAATGTTCATGACTACAGCCAGCGAGATTACCCACAAGGGCCACAGCCCATGATACAGAATTAAAAATGCTACTCCAGAACACACACTATAGTATGATACTAAAACAGAAACACATACTCTTACCAATAGAAAATTAAACCCCGATGTAGATGTATAGTACATGACAAATAAAGATGACTATAAATGAGGGATGCCAAAAGATGCCTCATCTTTTGTCAAAAACGAGAGACACTGCATTGTTTGATCTTGATATTAGACCAATATCAACCCATTACCCATTCTGCAAGAACACTACAACCCGGTGCAACAAAACCAGTGTTCCACTTTAGTGTCACCAGTAACAAATCGCAAGTGTGCTCGTTAATTTCTTTGTACATATATGTATATATATATATATATTTTTAGTTCTAATGCATTATTAGTTGCATATGTGCAGATCATCTGATACTGATTCACTTAAACCAAATTACAAAGGGACTTGGTGATAACAAGACCTATACAAACGCGTTAAAAAAAACCATGTTCTAGACACATAAGAGTGATCAATCATATATATATTCAAATATTATATACAATAAACGTAAAGACATATTTGCAAAAATCTCAACATTCATGCATTATTTTTCATTTCTTCCCTCAATAAAATTCCCTTTAAAAAAAAAAAAAACCTATCCACAAATCATACAGATATGTCCAAAAAGATAAACAAATATCCCTAAAAGAAGAGGTACAAACACATTATTTTCCATTTCTTCCCTCAATAAGACCATATGTAATCATGGATTTGGGGCAGCTCACTAAACCAGAACCTGTTTAGGGGCCTTATAATTGGATTATGCGGACCATGAACACAGTCAACGGCAGCGATAGAGCCGTAGCAAAAATATATGTATTCCCTTGCACAACCTGCAAGGGTAGGCTCAAAAAAACTAGCTCTGTAGTGGACACCATAACAAACAAAATATTTATAGATTGCTATCAAGGCATTCAGCACCTGAGACCAGCTGCAATCCGCCCAGAAAAATAGTCCCTGCAGCCATTCTTCATGTCAATGATCTGCCAACAGTGCTTCAGGTTACTACCAACATTCTTTACAATTGTACCACCCATCTTCAATCTTGGAGAATTAGTAGAACCTGTCCAAAATTGTAAATGGAGTGAGTACAACCAAGCAGAAACCCAGCCTATGTATAGGATGCAAGAAACTAAATAAAACATAATGAACGGGCTAACTTCACTCAATCCACAATATATTGGCTCACAACACTCGAACAATAATTTACAACACACAATATTAGAACTAATATCCTCAACCCACAATACAGATCACATGAGCAATATATCCATAACATTACTCTACATGTAAGACGCTCGTGCAATTAACAATACCTGTGAGGCAACAGGTTGCACAAGTAATCTAATGAAGCCTCAGCTTGGAGTAGCTCAACACCATCCTCATTCAATTCATCAATGTTCCCATTTGCACTTGACAATGATTGGGACAACATTGCAGACGTAATAGACTTTATCATCTTTCGACCAATAAAGGCCCCCACTCTTACAGATCCATAGTCTGCACCGCCAATGCTGGAAAAAAAAAAAATATCAAAATTGTCATTGAAGTTGAGGAAACATTTTTCCAATTTTCCTTTTTGTGGTGTAGGAACAGGGGGTTGGCAGAGAGGAGTGCATGATTTTCTTGCACGGCTTCAGTATGAAGAATTTTATGATGTTCCAAGTTTTTATATGCGCTCATTTTAAGTGATCAATGCCCCCCTCCCTCTGAAGCAAACTATAGAGTTATGTTCTAAACAAAATTCCTTTATGTCGTTAAAATAAAACTAATGCATTATGAGACTTCAAGATCTTGCAAAACCGGAAGATGCGAACAAAAATGAAAAACAGGAATATATACGCATGTGAATTATGTTGTGTGTTCAGGGTTGATCTATGCCAGCCAGGTGTTTGTAACAAGAGGTCCATGTAAAAGAACAAGAATAGAGAGAGTTCCCCAATAATAAACTAGCAAAAAAGGATTAATATGATCCGTGTAAGAACACAATTGGTGCCTTAAATAGCACAATTTAGGTAAGCTCTAGTTTGAATAATCATCCATAAAAAAATTAAGCATCATTAATTACTAAACGGCCCATCACTAACTCACAAAGAAATATTAAAACAAAGCATGAAAGACCTTGTACCTGTGTCTTATTCCTGAATCAATTCCCCAAAACCGTATATGACTAGGAATAGCCACAAGCCCTATTACCTCAGCAGGCTGCATAATTACAAGCACAACTTTTAGCCAGAGTCCTTACATAAAAAATAATTTTAGCAGAGTTGTTTTCTAGACTACTAATGACACATACCTGACAAATCATAGCAAGAAGTTTGTTGGCTTCACCACACGCTGAAGTCATCTGGTCCATCACACCACATGGAACTCCAACTACATGATTCTCTACCTATCAAATAATTTCTACGTAAGCTAAGAAAAGAACTTTGCACATGGGATGTCAGAATTACGCATACTAGGGGTAGAAGTGAATAAAAATTTTCTAAAGGGAACGTCAAAGGTCAAACCTTTTGGCAGAGCAAAGCAAGATCCCTGGGGCTGATGTCTAAACCTGCAGAAAGTAGATGGAAGTAAAACTCAATTAATTCTTTAGTTCAAATAAATTTAAATTTGTGATAGGCTCAAAATGAATTGAAATGATTCCACATGATTGGATATAAGAGGTTCGATGCCTACATGCTTAGGAGGATTTCTACAAAAGCCAATTGGATGACAGCATTTTTCTACATCAGTCCAACCAACAATTAACAAAAAAACAAAAGCATCTCTCTATCTAGCACTTGAGAAACAAAATAATTAACAATAAGCTACAATGAATTTAAAAAATTTGTGGACCACCCACATCACATCCCACTAATATATACAGACAGATAACAATAATACATAGAAACATAAATAGTTATTTATAAGTTGTAAAATTAGAATCATAATAATAGAGAGAAATTTGACCTGATGCATGGACTTGCTAGGAAGAAAACAAGTTGAGGCAGGCCCAAAGCAAATTGGCTTGTACTGGCCACCAGAGCTGTATGTCCCAACTTAACTAGTTTGATCTTCCATTGTCGAATTAAAGAATTTCTTATACCCTCTAGAGTAATATGATTAAAATGTTTCCAACAGATTGAGTACACAGCAACTACTAAACAGCAAAGTCGAAAAAAATAAAAAGAGAGAATGATTTTGAGCAGCCACTGTTCAGAAGGATGATAACCAAGCGATACACATCTGCTCCATCATATGGATTTCACCAATAAGCAGAGCATTAACAATTGAAAGTAAAATCATATCATATATACAGATAAACAATGGCCTTGAAATAGAACAATTTAATCCAAAAATAAAAAAATAAAAATAAAAACAGTGGCAGACGTGGCATTGTATTTAATTACAGCAATTACATCAAACAGAGAGTATTTATAGCATTGGAGATCAAACAGGTGAATCATTCTAGGTCTACAATACCAAAATTGGAGAGAAGAATCTTTACTTGATCAACAAAATCGGAGCCTGTTGCATACTCTGTAAGCATCCCAATAGCAAAACCAAACATTGCCCATCTGCTCAAAATATATAATAAATAAATCAAATAAATCCCAAACAAAAAAACAACAGAGAAGAAAAGACCAGGTCAAGAAATTGCCTTACCCCTACAAATATATAAATTGATTAAGGGAGCAAAATGCAAATTTATAAAGGATCAAAGCAACTGAACTCAAATTTGGGTAAGTCCATTCAAACAAATCAATAAAACTTCAATTTTTATTCGAATAATACCAAGCAATAAAGTATATATAGCACATGATTCGTGACTTCAATTCCTTGAAAGTATTTAAAAAGGAACTTCATGAAAAAGTTGTAGAATCCTTTGTAAAATGATGCCATTGGCAGCTTACTTGAACCCAGAAGTTAGGTCAGTGGCAATACAAGAAAATGCATCGTTGTGGCTTATGATTCTTTCACAGTCAAATGTAAAAAGTTCAACGTCCTAAGAAAGAATGCAGTAAAGTAAAACAACTACAGAAACGTGACACCAGAACCCGTGTACCTCACTAGGAGGTCAAGGTTCAAGTCTTGCCACAAGCAAGACTCCCTATCCCATGGGCTATGTACGCCAATGTATCCAAAAAGAAAAAGAAATGTGATACCACTGTCAACTTACTCCACACGCTCTGGTTTCATTTTACTACTATGAAAACATAAATTTTCGGGAGCCCAATAGTTTCATCACATGGGTCACTTCACACTGAATAGCCTAAGAAACGTTAATTTAATTTTTGATTATTGCTCATAATGAATTAAGTCATAGTTTCTTGTTTACTTTTTGAAGTGAATGAATTTTGTTCTTGAAGTTAATGGATTTTCTTTGGTGGCAAAACATAGCTGACTTCCATTATATCATTTCAACCGAAGTAGCCAGTTGGGCGAAAGCAAACTGACTTCTCTTATACTGAAAATGGTTTTATTCATTTCGTTAGAAACAGAGTACAGATAATTTGACTGTGATATATATATATATATATACATATATTAATAAATAAATAAAATAGACATATACAAAAACAAGAAAGACATTTACAACCACAGAATTGCAAGTACTGAAATGATCCCCACAGAATTGCAACCATATAAAGATGTGAAAGCTAGCTCTAATTCAAATCAATCAAGACTGGCTTTATATACAAGCTGATGCAACAATTGATTGTTGTTAATGCACAATGCCATTATCATAATTCCATGGGATACGGGCACTTGAAATAGTTTGCAAGGTTGAAATCAATTAGAGCATCTCTAATATTGATTAAATTTGAATCAAAATTTGATAAAAAATTTAATCTGATATAATATTTTGTTGTTTTGGAAATAATATTCACGATCACTTAAAAATAAATAAATACATAACCAATGCATGAGCAAAATTGTATTTGTGAATAAAGAACTGAGCAATTGTAGGTTTAGGAAAATGAACTATGCTAATTGTTACAGGACATCAAAATATTCCCTCAATATGTCTATTTGCCTCATATTTATATTTTCTTATAGAAATGTTGAGGCTTATCAACTAGAGGAAGACATCACTCATACAATATATAATGCACATTTTTTCCCTATCCGTGACAGAGCATTATAATCAGTAGCTTGTTTTAATACATAACAAGAGCATGTTGAAGATAATTTCAATGATCTAATTCTGAATATGAGAAAACCGTAAGTTCAAATAATAATTCCAGAATTCGATCCACAAAAATGAAGATAAGTAGATAGTGAAATTTATATATAGGTTTCTATGATCACCTGTAAATGAAAATCAAAAGCTGAACTGTACCAGTAGAAACGAGTCGTGCTCGGTTATCTCCGATTGCTTCACTTTCTGTACACACAACCTGATCGATCGAGAAGATTGCAGTGAAGATTGCAGTGAGATTAGTGGATAAGCAAGTTGAATCGATCATTACACACAACTTGATTTCTGTACACACAACTTGATTTCTCGGATCATTACAGAGAAAGTTGAATCGATGAAGATGTGCTTAGGCTTACCGATTATGAAATCTTCAACAGTTGTAGACTTGAGAAAGTTGAATCGATCGACAGATTCGAGCGAGAGAGGCAGATTTTGAGAGGGAGAGGGAGAGGGAGAGAGCTCAGATTTGGGAAAAAAGGGGGCGGATTGAGAGGGGGAGAGAGAGAGTCAAGTTTTATAAGTAAAATAAGATTGTGATGTCCAAAAATGATTGGGTCAGGAAAATGAGATGGTAAAATAAGATTTCGATGTCTAAAAATGATTTTTTGCGACCGTTCAATAATCAGTCGCAAAAAAATAGACGCAAAAAGTCATATTTCTAGTAGTGTTACTGAGGTCATGGCTTACATAAGCATGCTCCCGACGTCATGGCTTACATAAGCATGCTCCTGATGTCATGGCTTACATAAGCACGCTCTTGATGTCATGACTTACATAAACACACTCCTTGATTTTAAATAGTTTGCAAATGTTAATAATTAAAAAGATAAAAGTAAAACTAATTTTTTCTTTTCCTTTTGTTTATTTTTTTCAAACATAGAGCCACCGCTTTTATAGACAATTTAATACAAAGTTCACAACTTTTAAACAAACAAATGATTTGCTCCATCTATATATATATATATATACATATATATATATAACTCCATCTTTTTCTTCTTGTTTGATTATAATATGATATAATCAATTTAGTGTAGTGTGATATGATATAATCAATGTAGTGTAAAAAGTTTAATAGCGCACGTGATGTATTCTATTTATATTATATGCATTATATATATAATGTTCTAATCAAATATTTGCATACAGAAAAATCTCTTTAATAATATTGATGATGGATCTGAAAATATATGCCCTCTTTAAAATATTGTATATGTTGTAGAGATTTTAAACTAAATATATCCTACCACTACACATTTGGATATATCACTTTTGTCAAAAGAAGACAACTCATTAATATCATATTTGTCAAGATAATACAACCAATCAATCATTTTTGTCAAAATAATATAATTAATCAATTTTAATTTTTTCAAAAAGTGAATAGTGATCAGCCTAAATTTTCAAAAAGTGAATAGTAAAGTTTTCAAAAATATTTTTATTATAATATTTAACAAATATATATATTTTAAAGAGATAATATTTTGTGTCAAATAATATGTATATTAAAAAAATCCAAATTGTTACAAATAATATTTTAGACATCACTAAAATTAAATAATATGATTAACACCTACCAACTTAAACACTAACAATCACATAACTCATGCAATAACAACTAATTAACATAAAATAAATTGTATGAATAAATTATTAGAAATAAACAACTAAAACCATTCCAATAACTCTAGGCAATTAAATTAATTTTATTTCGAAGAGTTACTAGAATAAATTAAAATAAAAGCTAAATTGTTTTTCCAAAAAATATTTATAAAAAAAAGCCTGTTTTAAGATTGTTAGTATTTTTCCATAATAATGCAAGAAAAATATATAAAATAAATTAAATAGAAATGACAAAACAAGTTTTTATTAAAGGATGAAATACATAATAAATAACACAACTAAATATAGAAATAAATTAGATTACATTACTAAAAGAACAAATTATTAACATGGATAACTAAAGATTAGAACTCGTCGAGGTAAACTAAATTCTGAAAAATTAAAGAACAAATAATAAGAAAAGAAGCAAACCGAAACTTGTGTGACACTACAGTTTCCTTAAAAAAGATTCACCGCGTCTCGATGAGTACTGGAGGTATGCCGGCGTCTGCTTCCCAGGATACGATAGTCGAAACTAGCTATTGCAGAAGTATCTTCTGAATAACTTTGGCGAACTTGACAATGGTTGCACTCTCTCTAATAAGAACCAAAGAAGAGGCTACCAAAAGAAGATAGGAAAAAATTTCTTTGGTGTGAAAAATCATTTTCGACTTTTTATTTCAAAGCACCTTCTCATTTTTCATCACAAAACCTCTCTAAAAAACAACCTCTTAAGTTGGAGGAGAAAGGCCTCTATTTATACTAGTATGTGAGAGCCTTATCCATGAAAGCCAACGTCAATGAGGTCATCAAATGTCATCAACTTTAGCCATTAGGGCTAGAATTACAAAGGTTCAAAACTTTAAAACCATTATATAAATCATAATGTGTATATAATGTATAAATTTTGAGAATTAAATTAGATGGGTTGCAAAATGGATACGAATGTTGGATTACAACCCGATTCAAGCCCAATTTCAAACACATTCACAAACTAAGCCTAGCACAGCTCAGCCTAAAGCTCAAGACTAGGTCCAAGTTGAAGTCTAAGACCAAACCTAAAATATGCACAAGTACAAGTCCAGACCCAGTCCAAACCAAGACTAAATTCAAATCTAAACCTAACTTTATTGATACCCACTTTACAAAACAATTTTCATTCATAACTCAATAGTTTCGGCTTATTATTTTTGTATTGTAATCTTCTCACTTAAGAGAATACAAAATCACTCAGATCCATCTCAATCAACGATTGGATCCCACTTTAATTTCGAATTAAAGTTGCCGACAACTATTATTTTCCAATATTAACACCGAATTGATAAATGAATTTTATCACTTATTTTTATTCTTAATATAATAGTGACACATAAAATAATAAATAAAATGTGATTAAAAAATATAATCATCATAATATTACTATAATCCTACTTGGAATTAATAGCCACAAATTAACATTGTTACATATTAATTTCACTAATGTTCTGAAGACAATTATGCAGTAATTTATTATTTTTTGATAAATTATAAATACAAAACTTGAAATTTAGTTAAAATATAGATTGTTGATCGTGATTTTGGAATTTAAAAATACTTCTTTATCTAAACTTGTCTTTCAATAGAGATGATAAAAAAATAAAATTCAAAACTATCATTCTATATAGAAATAAAATAATTAGAATTGTTAATTAATACATATTGTTGATTTTATTAAAAACTGTTAAATGACTTAATGATTAATTAATGAAATAGGCTACTTGTTATGCAATTAAAAATTTCAAGAGACTGGATATAATTTTCAAAATCACATAAAATAATTAGTATTTTAAACAAATCTAAGAGAGTTTATTTGTACCTTATTCTTTTTTCTTTTGGTTGAGTTAATTTGAGATTTTTGGGCAAATTACATATACCTCCCTCGAGGTTTAGCTAAATTGCAGATACCCCCCCTGAGATTTTGGAAATTATAGATACCCCCTGAGGTTTATATTTTCATAACAAATTGCCCTTTAAGATTTATATTTTCATAACAATTTGTCCCCTAATTTGTTATGCAAATAGTACCTTCAAGAGGGTATCTGTAATTTCTCAAACCTCAAGGGGTATATGTAATTTTGCTAAACCTCGAGGGGGTATATGTAATTTGCCCGATTTTTTTTAGTGGGTTTGGCCAGTAAGTATTTTTGGTTCCATTTTTTTAGAATGAAACGGATGATAAAAAATAAAAATGGTAGAAAGTAAAGTGAAAGAAAAGAAAAAAAAATAAAAATTTATTTTCTTGCATGTATTTAAATAGATGAAATTTTTTGTAAGAAAATGATGGGAAAAAAATACAATTACTGCATAACAAGGGGTTGTGGAGAGAAATATGAGTAAAAAAAAAAAAAAAGCTTGTCAAGATTTTTATTTTCTTGCATGTATTTAAATAGATGAAATTTTTTGTAAGAAAATGATGGGAAAAAAATACAATTACTGCATAACAAGGGGTTGTGGGAGAGAAATATGAGTAAAAAAAAAAAAAAGCTTGTCAAGATTTGTAAGAAAATTTAATTTTCCTGTATATTTTACTAGAAATAATTAGCCTGAATAATAAATTGTACAAAAAAACTTTAGTTTTCAATACTTTGTAGGACTCTCTATCTAAAGAAACACAAAAAATTATTTTTTTCTTTTACTTTTATTTTCTTTTATTATCTATTTAATCAAATTGAGCCTTTGGAATAAAAAAAAGAATAATAAGATAAGACATTTTTCATTAATTTTTTTAAAAAAAATTATAAAAAAAAAATCACTATTTTTTAAATATTTTTTTAACTACCCGTCGGCTCGGCCAAAGAGCCTGTCAAGACCAAAACCGTTGGAGCAGAGCATGGGCCTAAAATTTTTGTTTGTACTCGAAACCCATCAAAAAAAATCTAATGGGCTTACCCTATACATGAACTTGGGCTCCATTTTTACAATCCAGCCCGATAAGCACCCTTGTAATTCCCAAACTTTGTTGTCAGTGGGACCCATCGAACCACGTGACGTCACCCAGAATGCACGAGGTTAATTCAAGCCATCCACGTGTCAATCAATAAGTGCCATTATCATAAACAAACTGATGACTGGCGATATATTTAAGCAACAATGCTACGTAGGTACGTAATTAACCCTAAGGGTTGTGGCATTGTGGTAAAGTCTTGAGGTTTAAGTCCTAAGGTCACAAGTTTAATTTTTTGTCTTGGGCCAATCTTTTGGGCGAAGCATTACTTGGTGTGGGTTTAATGCTTAATCGGAGCTTGCCTTGGAAGGTCGGGACAAACTTCCACGTTATAGTCTCTTACTCGGAACGGACAACAGGACACCATGGTGATCTCCTCATGGGCCTGTTGATCTCCTCATGGGGCGCTGCCTTGGACCTGCGGGAGGGTGGGAGGATTTCCCTGTAACAAAAAAATAATGCTACGTAACTGAAATTTTGTGATTTAAAAGTGGCTTAAATGGCCAAAACGACGTCGTTTTGGCTATTTGAGTCACTTTTGAGCCACAAAATTTGAGTTACGAGACATTCTTCATATTTAAGTGTTTGTTTGACGTTAATATAACCCACACTATTTTAATACATTATTTTATTTAAGTTACGATTATTTTAAATTTAATTTATATTTTAAATTTTTTTATAAAAAATCAAATAATATACTAATCTAATATTTTTTAAAGAATTCTTTAGGTTGGTACAACACACTACCTTGTTGGGTTATAATTTTTTTGACTAAACATTGAGGGCATGTTTGATTAGGTAAATTAAAGTATGAGATTAGGATTATTAATCTGTGGGTCTAATTATCTTATGTTTATTTTAACATTTTAGTTTAGGATTATTAATCTAATGGATAATTAATCTAACAAATTTGTAGGATTATTAGTAATGGGGTAGTTGTGGGATTATTAATTTAATGGATATTAATCTAATTGGATAGTGAATACCACACTAATTTAATAAGATTATTAATAGTTCACTATTAGTCTTGTGACCTGAAAGTTTTAATTTTAAAATTTTAGAAGAGTATTAAATGGTAGGATCCAATAATAATGTGATGTAGTGTTTTTGTGTTTACGGTTTTTTTGATTTGTCACATCTTTTAATTTTAGCGGTCCAAAATTATAACTTTCTATTATTGTTGAATTTTTATAACTAAAATAGTTAATAAAAATAAAATAAATTAAAATAATTAATATTAAAAAATATCATTTAAATAATAATTATTCTATTTTTTTAATAACCATTAAATTAATTAAAAATCTTAATTAATTTTTGAAACATAATTTTTTTTAATCAGTCTAAAATAATTAAAAAACACAAAAAAAAATAATAATTATTATTAAAATTGTTAATTTTCCCAACCAGCTCACTATTTCACTTTGGATCAGTTGAGAAGAAGAAAGCTGTGACTCAAGTGTAATCTGTTTCGATTTCCCTCCACACATTTCACCATTGCCTTATCCCAGATCTCTCCCTCAAAAATCATCATAAACAATCACACAAATCTCAATGCAACAATTTCTCATATCTCCTCCTCCACTTCACATCCACCACCACCATAACCACCACCGTCGCCGCCACAAATGGCCGCCAAATTGGCGTTTACTCTGACGACCCCTCGTCTGTTCACTTCTCATCTTCGAAAATCCTCTGTTTCTCTCTCTTCTTCTTCATCATCGTCTTCGTTTTCTAGGGTTCATTCGGTTCCACTTGTCGGCCGCCACTTCTGTTTTCGGCGCACTCTGCTCATTCTTCCCCCCAAGGCCACCACTGACCAGCCAGGTTAGGGTTTCATTTTATCGAATTGGATTAATAATCCTAACAAAACACGCAATTCTCTATGTTTGGCTGAGAATATTCAGTTGACTTGCTAAATTAAAAAAAAAAAAGAAAAACAAGGAATTGGATATGATTTTGTTAATTTTTTCTCAAAATACATGATCAATCCAAACGTAATATAGGGATAGATTTTTAATTCCAGAACACAGTCATAATATAGTTTTCATATACTCTGTTGGTATCGTTGCATTGCATTATTGGTTTAAGTGAATTTCTGGTTTTAATTGGGACAATTAAGTTCAAGTATCGGATATGTATTCGCTGGCATTCGAGGAGTTGAGTGTCTGATACTGATATGATACGGATATATATATTCACGAGTATTCGAGGATTATGAGTGTCTGATACTGATATGTATAACACTTACAAAATTTGAGGAAAAGATGCGGACACAAGTGAATACCCAGCTAATTTTCCCATAATCTGTGGATGCGGTTTAGCTATCAAAATTTCATTACTGAACACAGTGCTGCTTGCAGGTCAGGTCCAAGCAGATGAGGAGGTTGACAGTAAGATCCTACCATATTGCAGCATAGACGAGAAAGGGAAGAAGTCATTGGGGGAGCTTGAACAAGAATTTCTTCAAGCACTACAAGTAACGAAATAGATTTTTCATTTTTATTTTCCTCGCTGCTTCCTAAATAAACATACTCATTGTGTTTTAGATTTCCGCTTAGTCTACAATTCTAGAGCTGGGTACTCATATTTTCATTTTGGCTAAATTACACTAACCTCCCTTGATGTTTAGAAAAATACCGTGAGCTCCACAAGTTTAGCATCATTATATTGGGCTCCCTTAAAGTTTTAATTCATGTAACACTTGGCCCCTTTTCATTAGAAGTTTGTTAGTCGTATAGATGAAATATGATTGTATTATCTCTTTTACACTAAAATGTATATTTTACCTTGTTTGTCTTTGTGTCTGCGTACCATCCACATTAGTTTTGGTCATTTTAGCCTTACTAAAAGGGAGGTCGGTGTAATTATGCCAAACTTGTGGAGATTATTATGTTTGGTCTGTGTAATTTACCCTTTCATTGAATGCTGGTTCTGATTCTGTACAAATTTTGTTTTGTTGTTTTCCAAGTGAGAGGATTGAATTTTGTTTTTGCTTTCTGCTGTAGTCTTTCTACTATGAGGGCAAGGCTATTATGTCAAATGAGGAGTTTGATAACCTTAAGGAAGAACTAATGTGGGAAGGAAGCAGTGTTGTCATGCTAAGTACAGACTAAACTCTGCATTGGAGCCTATACGTATATGTTTATGACATTAGCCTTTCATCAATTGATGAACCTCTAAGATGACTGTTATATGACTGGCTTGTGTGGCAGGTTCTGATGAACAGAAATTTCTAGAAGCTTCAATGGCTTATGTAGCTGGGAAACCAATAATGAGTGATCAGGAGTACGACAAACTGAAGATACAACTAAAGGTTTTCCTGCATTGGATTCATATTCATATGCACATACTTCAACTAATAATATATAGCCAAATTCTTGCAAAAGAAACTAGTCAAATTTGCTGTAGTTCTTGTGTGGCTGGTTAATATGCTTGCACATTTTCACGTGTTTGTATATTTGTAGTTGAAGTTATGGGCATATGTATCATATTCTACTCATGGTTGATGTTGTTATTTCTTGATTGTTTACCATGGAAAATTATACTGTTGAATAAAACTATCCATTAATGATTATACTTGTTTCTCTGTGTCTGTCTGATATTTTAGTATATCTACTTGTGATTTTTCTCATCCAATTTTGTTCTGCAGATTGACGGGAGTGATATTGTGGTTGAAGGTCCAAGATGCAGTCTCCGCAGTAGAAAAGTACGTACTTTCGCTATATTATCTGTGTTCTTTTCAAGTTGTGTGTTTATGCTTCAATCAATGGCTTCGATACACATATTCAGGTTGTATCTGCATGGATGACAAGTGTACTTGTTTGTTTTCTCATAGCGTTTCGTAGCTGTATAATACTGAAATCAATGTATGGAAATTAAATTCAACTCTTTTGCTGGTATAAAAATATACTACTCTCTCTCTCTCATATTCATATAAATCTCTGCTATATAGATTTAACTTAGACGAAAGAAAGGAGTAGTTTACTTGAGCATATACCAAGACGGGGGCTTAAATCCTCACAAGGATGTATGTCACCCCTACACTAGTTAAGTGTCAGTAATTAATAGGCTCTTCCATTTTGTGTGAGGATTCACATCATGTTTCTCAAGTTTATGACTCATTCAAGATCTAAAATGTTGGTATCTCAAATTCTCAACTTCTGACACTGCTTATGAAATAGATATCATGAATAGATATAGTTTTTCTGTATTGTATACTAGGAATTATTAAATTATTATAATTGTTTGTCACGAAGGATTATATGGATTGACTGCACTACGCTCCTCTCATGAACTTGGATTAAGAGGCTTGTGCATGGGTGTTCTGTTTCCTTTGATGTAAATGTTAGCCACCATGGCATGTGTTCATAATTGTGAACTAATGTTATGTGATCCTCGAGAAGTTAAGACCTAGAAGTATTGTTAATTTTTTTTTTTTTTTTTATTTCCTCTTAAGTAAACATTATTTGTTAAAGGCGATCCACCTTTTTGTCCCACTTGGATGGCACTTTTGCTAGGTGAGTACTTGAGCTGATTTATTACTTTCTTCCTGTAGGTCTACAGTGACTTATCTGTTGACTATTTAAAGATGGTCCTCTTGAATGTTCCTGCTGCTATCGTTGCATTGGGATTGTAAGTAACATAATTTTTTTTTTTTAAATAAATATTTTTTATGAACATACCCAGCCATACTTGTACCCTACTTTTTTATAATTTTACCGTATCGACGTACCTGTACGGTACTAGTACCACTACCCGTACCTGTACACATGCTTCATAGGATGGCAGACAGCTGTATTGTGGATCCAAAATCTACATTACTGATTGTGTATTTTTGTTAAATTTTTATTTTTACAGGTTTTTCTTCCTGGATGATTTGACTGGATTTGAGATCACTTATCTTTTGGAGGTAAATATTACTCCATTACTTTTTGTTGTTCTAAAATCTTATTGTATGTAATACTAGAGTGGGGAGATGCAAATCATTTTGAATTTGAAATTGGCTGACAGTTTCTCAAAGTACTTTGGGCCTTTCTCAGTGGCTGGCCACAAATTTATACACATGAACATGCCATTAACATGAGTGAGTTGGTCAAGTTGATGTTACAGATACTATTGTATGGACCCCTTTAACATGAGAGAGAGATAAAAAGTGTTCTCACTACTTCAATTATGTTCACTTGCAACCATAAGATTATCCCAAGTCAAAACACACTTGATCAAGTTTCCTTGACCAAAATGTCATTCTATAATTTGCATGGAATTTAGTTACATCCACATAATTTCCAAAGGAAAAGTCAACCTATATGATTTAAAGAAAATTTTTAGAATCCGCAATTCTCTTGAATTTTCCTGACTATTCATTATGTAAATGAATATGTTTGAAGAATTCATGATGCTGTGATTTGTGAAAAATCCAAATTTACCTGAACATGATTAGTGCTTCTATATAGTTTTGAAAAAAGAAAATGATAATATTTTTCCTTTTTTATTGGAGAGTATAATTTGCATGTATAATTTGTGAGTAATTATAACCTATTATCTGAAATTTTTCTGAAGCATGGGAACTCAATTAAGTTAAAACCTGAAGGCAGAGTTGGTGTAATGACGTGATACAGTGCGTGTTCAACATTAGTTGAAGTCTTTTCTGTGCTTAATTTTGTTAGTTATTGCTTCTTCAGTATACCTAACTTTTCATTTTTTGTATCATTAATTTGCAGCTTCCAGAACCATTCAGTTTCATTTTCACATGGTTTGCTGCTTTGCCCCTCTTATTGTGGTCAGCTCTATCAATTACAAACTTCATTGTGAAAGATTTTTTGATCTTGAAGGTAGGATCTTTGTTTCATCACTTACAAGGTTTTATATTAAACAACCACGTCATGTTTGGTATGCAAACTAATAAATGCCCTTAACTCTTAGGGCCCTTGTCCAAACTGTGGGACAGAAAACCTCTCCTTTTTTGGAACCATCCTATCAATATCCAGCGGTGGTACCACCAACACCCTCAAATGCTCAAAGTAAGTTCATAGTTGTTCACATTTGTTGATGAACTTCACAATACTTAATTCACATTCCTGCAATTCTATATCCTCCGTGACATTTTTTTTTTTTCATAGTAACTTTTGAATTTTCACTAATTTTAAATACTTATTTGTAATATTCTCCTCAGTTGTGAAACTGTAATGGTTTATGATTCAAACACGCGCTTGATCACACTGCCAGAATGAAGTAATGCTTGAGCAAGGTACATTCCCTATCTGTCATGTGGTCTTTACTTAACTGTGGCAACACCAGGTTCATTATAACAAAGCAAAAAGGTTTCAATTTTAAGTTCTCAGCAAAAAATCTTGGAAGCATACATGACACTGATGGAGATCCATTTTTCTTCATGTTCAAGAATCCAATAAACAACCATGAAAGCAAAAAACAAACAAGAAGAACAACAAATGAAGAAAACAAACAAAAAACAAAAGAGAAAATGGTAACATAAGGAAAGGGAGAAAAAAATGGGTTTGGTTGAGTTTTTGAAATCTGTTTTTCTTTTTCATTTTTTCTCAAGAAACTAAAAACTAGTTAAAAAAAAAAATTTAAAAAAAAACACTCCATTTTCATATGGTTTCTCTTTTTAGGGTGTTGATTTTCATCAAACTAGATAGAAAACAGATTCTGAAAATTCAACTGAACAGGATGAATAGCATCAGAGTTGTTCTCCTATTTCTGACATAATACATGATGTCCTATTTCCTTTGTGGGCAATATAGTATGTAACCTCCTACCATTTATATTTTTCAGTTTTTCGTTCTTTCTTGAAGTTTCACTGCTTTCATTGTTAAATGCATAAGTTCAGTCTCCTAAACCATGCTCAAATTTAATCTCGCTAACCAAACATTCTGGTCCTAAACCATGTTGCGAAATCATTTAATGCTATGCCTCCTAGTGTTACAGACTAAGGTGTAATTGCGAGGGTTCATTTCGTACTGCGAAAGTTTTGATGACATTGTTATCTATATCCTTGAGACATTTTGTGAGATGGTGAATAACAGATTAAATGGTTGTGACTGCAGAATGAATTATTTTGAAGGGATCTATGATACGACACGTGCTAGCATGAGTTGCAAGGGAGGACTGTGAACGTTATGCACACGTGTCACTATTGGTAAAAGAGGAAGTATGAACATGAAGGGTCTTAACTTGAGTGGTTGATATATATGTAAACATGTAATTGTATTGTGTTTCTGTTCATATGTATATATACCTAATACAGGCTTGTACACTAGAAGAGGTGCAAAGTTGTGGTGGATTGCCCAGATTAATAGAAATGACACTTTGCTTTACATGCAATATTGAAGCCATTCCTCAACCTTAGTTCATATCAGTTCTGTTTAACACAGATTAGTTATGACTAATATGCGCGTAATTCATTTTTATGTGAATTTGTTTGAGTCAATGACACTGCTAATTCTCCTAAGGATTGTCTCGGGTGTTGTGTTAAGGGTTAGCTAGAAATTGTGTGGATTTTATATTTGAATCTTGCTTGGCAAAATTGAAGACTGAAATGCTAGTTATAACTTTTTTCTTTTTTTATCAATGAAACCACCTGCAACTGTTTTAAGCATAAAAGCTTGTTTTGCACATTGTTTTTGAAAGAAACATCATAATGTTTGGAAATTCGCAGATTTTCAATGAATTTTAATCAATCAGTTGACTTTTACATAGTTTTTATCAGCTGATCACCAACTTAGGTTCCATGCTTTGCATATTCTACCAACCAAAGTATTAAACTTCCAAACATAGCTTAACACCTGCCTGCACGTTGCTAGCCGATTTTAAAATTGATTAAATGAATTGATTAACATACTGTAGCGTAGAAATATCTAATCATGAGAATTTCGAGAAACTATCATATAAAAATATTACGTTATTGATAGGAAAGGAAAATAAAATCTATTTTTCTTCTTTGAAATGTTATTCCAATGTGGACACTCTTGATCAACTTCCTTGTTTGGAGATAATTATTAAGGAATTAATGAAAACAAATACAATCATCTTTCTTTTCTTGCATGTATAATTATACAATTATACATTGCAGAAAATTTTAATTTTTTTTGTAAATTAAAAAATTAACGGAAAAGTAATTCATTTCTAATTTTTTTTTCCGTTTCTGTCCGTTTCTTCAATTCATTTTTACCAAGAACTATTTTTATGTACAGCTTTCTTGATAACTAAACAAAGTAAAAAATGTATTAAAAATTGAGAAATAAAGATAAAATTTTAGGGAGAAAAAATTCCGAAATGTTGCCTATGTACATGACAGGCCTCAAAGGGTACTTTTGTTTTTTTGTTTTTAATTTTTAAAAGAAGAATGTGACTTGAAGGGCACTAATATTCGTGAGGGTCACGTAGGGTACTCTATCCTGTAGTTGGGTATTACTACATAGAAAGGCATACATGTACAATACAAGTCATTGAGCATTGTACTTTGTTCACAAAGGCCTTTGAAGGTTTGGAGCTTTCATCAATTTCAAAGAAAAGTTTGAAAACTATGGCTTCGAATATTCTCTATTCATGGAACATCATTGGCTTCTTCCTGATGGGAGGGATAACCAGTGTCATTGGTGGTTATGCACCGGCTAGAATGATATTCCGGCCTAGCCAATGGGCCCTTGCCCACACCACTTTTTATGGCGATGAGTCCGCTTCTGCCACTATGGGTTAGTATTTTACTTTTATACTTTGTCACCATCCCATCATGTAACCACTCTCATCACAATTAAAATTTAACATTCAAAAAAAAAAAAAAAAAAAAAAAGATGCCAAATTTTTTAAATTGAATCCCAACGGAGTTAAGTGCAAAGTTTAAATTTGTTTTATTTCATCAATAATAATGACTCAATATTTATTTAATAGAAAAATATTCAAAAATGCAATGTGATACCATTACATTCATTTCGATAGTGTTCAAGTGACATACTAAATAAATGAAACTTCCAAGAGAACATTTTGAACACCAACAATGTTACATACCACTAAATTTTTACCACTAACATCACCACTAATGATGTGACAAGTAAAAAAAAATTAAAAAAAATAAAAAAGTAAGACACAAAACACATGTGGCAGTGGGTCCCACCCATTGCACATCCTTAGTGCAACCACTAATTAGTGGTCTGCATCATTTTTCTTTTGAACACCCCTCTAAATATAAAAAATTAAAAATTTGAGTTAGTGGTATATTCCCTTCATCGTCTCAATAAAATACTCATGGGACAAAAGCCCAAATTCTGATGTTTTACTTCATAAATTTATAATCATTGTGTTCCATAAATGCAAATTTTGCATTAAAAAAATAGTAGGTCATTTAATCCCAAATTTTTTTAAAAAAATAAAAATTTATATTCGCGAAAATCCCAATTTTGTAAAAACCCAATAAGATAATTAAGCAGATATTTTGCACATAAACAGATCACACAACAATCACAATCCATTGAAAAAACACTTAAGCAACTAGTGAAACATTAGACAGAATGAAGTATGTCTTTATTGTTCATTCAATTCCTTATTGTGGGTTGAATGATATGCAGGAGGAGCTTGTGGGTATGGAAACTTGATGAACAATGGCTATGGAACCGACACAGCGGCATTGAGCTCGACTCTGTTCAACGATGGATACGCGTGTGGGACTTGCTACCAGATGAAGTGTGTTCAATCACCATGGTGCTATGCAGGGTCCCCATTCACCACCGTGACGGCTACAAACCTGTGCCCACCAAACTGGTCTCAAGACTCCAACAATGGTGGGTGGTGCAACCCTCCGAGGTCTCACTTTGACATGTCTAAGCCTGCTTTCATGAAGATTGCACAATGGAAGGCCGGGATTGTCCCCGTCATGTACCGCAGGTAAATCACTATCGAAAATTCTATTCTTTCAAAATTTTCATACAGAATCAATCACTAAAATGATGCGTCACTGATAATTTTAATACTAACAAGTTTGTCACATCTATTTTGTGTATGTATTTTTTGTTTGTATATCATTACTCGATTATTTTGTTTCATGAAAATGATCTCAAGAAACAATTGAGTATTTTAGTTTTTAGTTTTTATTTTTGAAATATACAAAAAAAATTGGTTTGGGAATTATTTCAAGAAAATTTTCTAAAATTAACTTACTTTTTAAGAAATACCAAAAAATTATTTATGAATTTATATATATATATATATATATTTTAGGAGGAGCCTTATACATTAAATTTGTCTTGCTACATTATTTGGAGTTGTTTTTAGAGAAATCAACACTTGTTTTGCCAAGTAGTACTGGTCTCTTATAATTTCATCTATGTGGAATCATAAAAAAAATATCATAAAATGCTTCATGAAGAATTTTCATCCCTTGATTAGTGTGTGGTGTTTTCTTATACGTGTAATTTAACGGTAAAGAATCTTTTATAATCATTTTCATGATACGTAGCATTACACTTTGTACAGAGTACCATGCATTAGGGCTGGCGGACTTCGATTCTCGTTCCAAGGAAATGGGTACTGGTTATTGGTGTACGTGATGAATGTGGCTGGAGGAGGCGACATCGCCAACATGTGGGTGAAGGGAAGCAGCACTGGATGGATAAGCATGAGCCATAACTGGGGAGCTTCATACCAAGCATTTGCAACCCTAAGTGGTCAACCACTCTCTTTCAAGATCACTTCTTACACTACCAAAGAGACCATTGTAGCCTACAATGTTGCTCCTTCAACTTGGAGTGTTGGATTGACCTACCAAGCCAATGTCAACTTCCATTGATGGAGTATGAATGAGAGACATAAAATGTTGATGATCTTTTTGGGATTTTCTAAGCCTCAAGGCATTTATATATTTATATTATGCAGAAAAATGTTTAAAACATTATTAAGAATTTGAATATATGATATAGATTTAAATGTAATAAAATAAATCTGATCAATATAATTCAAATTCTAGGCACACTTACTAGATATTTTGCTATGAGAGTATGTAGCAATTGCTCTTTATATATTTGCACTTTTGCTTTGCTTCTTTTAATTTGGAGGGTTTTTTTTTTTATATTTTAAATTTTAATATATATATATATATATAACCTTGTATATTATTTTCACTTCCAACGTAATGCAATAATTAATATGATGAATGAAAGGAGCATGAGAGATCAATGTTGATGATCTTTGGCATTTTCTAAGTCTCTAGCCATTTATTTATTAGAAATATTATGGATGCAAGAAATATATATATATATTTGAATATATGATATAAATTTAAGTAAATTTTATCGATATAACTCAAATTATAAGGCACGTGTTAGATATTTTATTTTTAGGGTAAATTATAAACACACTGTTTGAGATTTACTTAAATTACAAATTACCTCATGTAGTTTTAGAAATTACATTATGCCTCTAAGATTTCTAATTTCATAACAAATAGGTCTTTTTATTAATAAATCATCATGTTAATTAACAATTTTTAATAATGTTAAAATTTTATTTTAATTAATAATTTAGATAATTTTATTATTGTATAGGTAAACGGTTAGAAATTTTATTTTTTCAATTAATTATGTTAAATAAAAAATTCTGATAGGAAGGTGTTTATAATTTTTTACACTACCAGAGCAATCATATTTTAAACAATGAGCCATGCTAGGGAGCTCGAATTTGGAGCCCTCGAATCTCCCGAATCAATCAAAAATCAAGAGAAGAAGAAGAAGAGAATGAAGAAGAAGGATTGGTTTTTAATAATGTTAAAATTTTATTTTAATTAATAATTCATATAATTTTATTATTGTATAGGTAAACGGTTAGAAATTTTATTTTTTCAATTAATTATGTTAACTAAAAAATTCTGATAGGAAGGTGTTTATAATTTTTTACACTACCAGAGCAATTCATATTTTAAACAATGAGCCATGCTAGGGAGCTTGAATTTGGAGCCCTCGAATCTCCCGAATCAACCAAAAATCAAAAGAAGAAGAAGAAGAAGAAGGAAGAAGAAGAAGAAGAAAGACTGGAGGGGGCAATATCAACCGGGTGGAGGCGCAGGCAGAGGCAAAGGCGGAGACAGGGCGAAGACAATCGGGCGACGAGCTGCAATCGACCGACGAAATCGGCTGACGAGCTGCCACAAGCGACGAGCTGCGATCGACATCCACCGTCGCTCACACCGCCATCGCCACACCCACTGTCGCACCCGCCGTCCCCTCTGTTTTCCTTCTCTTCTCTCCTCCTCTCTCTTTCTCCCTCTCCCCTCTCCTTTGTTTCTCCCTCTCTCTCCCTCTGTTTCAGAAAAAAAAAATAAATAAATAAATTAGCAGTCGGGAGATTCGGGGAGGAACTTTCGAACTACAAAACATTTTTCTTTAAATAAATCTCCGAGGTTGTATTTGTAATTTATTTTCGGGAGATTCGGGGAGAAAATTTTGAACTACAAAACATTTTTCTTTAAATAAATCTCAAATGATGTATTTGTAATTTATTTTTATTTAAACACATAATATTACTCTTTATATATTTTATCATTTTAAATTGAAATTAGATACTAATATTAAAAATTTTAAAAATATTCAAATAATTATCACACGATTAAAATTCGTTGTCCCTTCATTTTAAGTTACCAATTACCACTACACTACCTTCTAATTTTACAACAATGATTCATCCCATTAAAAATATCACCATTAATAGCACTAATGCATTAAAAAAGTAAAAAAAAAAAAAAATACAACTCCAAGACTAAAATATCACATCATTACTGACGGGACCCACTACCACCTAATTAGTTGGAGCACTATCCCAAGCATTATTCTTCCCGCAAACCCGCCCCTTCTGTTACTTATTTTCCCGGGAAAAAACAAAAAGAAAGATAAAGAAAATATTAACAGCCCTCTCTCTCTCTCTCTCTCATCTCTCTCTCTCTCCAAATTTTCTACCTAATCCCAAATAGACGAAGAGCTTCTCAGCTCCATTTCTCTTTCTAGGGTTTCTCTCTCTAAAATCACCATCACAAACCCCCAACTCCCACACTGCCAAAAAAACCAAATCTTTCATGGACAATCCCATGGCTCCTTCACTGGAAAACCAATCATCACCATTCACACCACCCCTTTCTTCATCATCATCAGAGCTCAATCTTCCTCCAACAATGTCACTCCCCTCTCTCTCTCTTCAATCCCCAACAACAACCCCTTCTCTCCACATCGATCGAATGGTGGGTACGAACTACCATCCCTCTCCTTCTCGAACCATCTACAGCGATCGCTTCATTCCCAGTCGATCCGGCTCCAATTTCGCTTTCTTCGACATCTCTTCTTCTTCCAATTCGCCTTCCGAGGGCCGAGAAGACTCGTCTGGGGCCTACAAGGCCCTGTTGCGGACCGCATTGTTCGGTCCCGACTCGGGGGTCGTTCCTCCGCCCACCCCCGAGAAGGGGGTCGGAGTGAACGGCCGTGATTTGCCGATGAGTCAGCCGAGTCGGAATATTTTCCGATTCAAGACGGAGACTCGGCAATCAATGCACTCACTTTCGCCATTTGGGTTTGATGAGCAATTGCCTGGTGTTATTCATAGCCCTGTCAAGGCTCCAAGAAAAGTTCCCAGATCCCCTTATAAGGTGAAATTAGAGAAATTTGTGATTTGGGTTTGATTGTATGTGGTTTTTTTTTTTTTTGGTGGTGTTTGTGTTCTTGGTGGTTTGATAAGTGTTTGTTTATTTGTTAGGTATTGGATGCACCTGCTTTGCAAGATGATTTCTATCTGAATCTTGTTGATTGGTCTTCTCATAATATGTTGGCCGTTGGGTTGGGTAATTGTGTTTATCTATGGAATGCTTGTAGCAGCAAGGTGAATTTTCGACACCGATCACCATTTTTTTGGGTGAATTTACTACCCTTATCAGTGTTTAGTATTTTCAGATGATTGACTTTGTGTTGTGGTCATATTTAGGTGACAAAGTTGTGTGATTTGGGAAATGATGACGGTGTCTGTTCAGTTGGTTGGGCTCAGCGTGGGACACATCTTGCTGTTGGTACTAGCAATGGCCAACTTCAGGTCTGCTTATCAAAAGACAGCAACCAAATTTTATTACTTTTCATAGATAATAGCTCTGTATATGTTGGATGATTATTTGTTGGTTAGGAATTTGAGCTTTAGGCCTTTGTTTTGTTCAGCATGGTTTAGAAATGTCAACAAGAATGTTATATATAAATGTAGCTATAGATTACTTGGATTTTCTTCTTCGTTTCTGTTATAATTGAGGCAGTAACTTATTTTGCTATCAGTTTTTATTTCCACTTCTGGTGAGCATGAAGATCAAATCTTTAACTTCAATCCTATCCTAAAACTTTTGAAGCTGTGTCTTTCTAGGAAACAGACACCTATTCTACTTACAAATAAAAGAGCCCCGCTATTCAATGAAAAGGTTCTGCAAATTTTTACTATGAAAATTAACTGTTCTACAATTTTCAATACACAAAACTTTATGTTATGCAACAAATTGAGGACTGCTAAAGGTGGGATTTATAAAAGTTCTTGAAACCATGAATAATGAATTTTTTTTCCCTCCAAGTAGTGGAAGAAGTTGAGTTCTTTGCGGAAATTTTTTTTATGAATCAATGTTGCCAAGTAATGGAGCAGGATTTACTAAAACTAAAGATAACAAAATCCCTGTTTGGTGTACGCAGAAGTAAATTTGAGAGAAGGATAAGTTGTTTCTAGTCTCTCATAGTTAAAGTCTTTGAATTCCTAACTTTTAATAATCATAATAGATTTCTAGGGTTGGAGTGTTGCTACCGCTGACAGATGAGTCTTTCATTCTTACATGTCAAATGTGTGTAAAAGCTCAGCATGTGTATGTTGGTTGAGATTAAAATTGTCACATGTCCCTTAGCTAATTTTAAAGCAAAACCATAATATGGCCTATATGCTTCTATTAGTTGCACAAGTATGACAATCTCCCCTAAAAGCAAAGCGGCTCTAGAACTACATTCTTTTGCAAATAGTGAAGAGATTGTATTGTTGATGTTAGTGGAGACATGCAACAACAAAATTTACCACCAAAAAAAAAAAAAAAAAAAACAACGCCCAATTAGTACACATTAATGTGTGTTTGGGAGGGGAAAGATTGAGTACACACCTAACCTTTGGCATAATGCACAAAGTGGTGGTCCCAAGACTTGAACCATAACCTCAAGGTTATTAGGCCAAATCTTAACAATTGTACCAATGGTCACCCCTAGGAAAATACCACAACTCTTCTATAATTCTATTGTTTACCAAAGGAATACGGAAAGATATGGCCAAGTCTTAACAAACACACATTAATGTGTGTTTGGGAAGGGAAAAATTGAGTACACACCTAACCTTTGGCATAATGCACAAAGTGGTGGTCCCCAAACTTGAACCATAACCTCAAGGTTATTAGGCCAAGTCTTAACAATTGTACCAATGGTCACCCCTAGTAAAATACCACAACTCTTCTATAATTCTATTGTTTACCAAAGGAATACGGAAAGATACGAACAAAGATGTAGAGAAGAATCTCTAGAAATTTTATTTTATTACCCAGCATTAGGAAACAACTAATTAAGGTGATTTTCTTGTTAACTACGCCTAAATTAAATCGAAGGAAATCATAAAATTACCAAAAAAAAAGTAAATTTGAGCTAATTCTAGAAACAAAAAGAAACATTCTGAAAAAATCTGAACAAAACTGGATTTGTTCTGACCAATAAATTTGGCAAAACAAATCTTTTTTTAAAAATGATAAAATTGCAAAATCGGAGGCCTAAATGATGGAATCTGCCTAAAATCAAGCTTAGATTATGGCAAAGTATTGATCATTGATCCAATTTGGATCAAACATGAGTCTTTCGAAGCAAATCCAGCAACGTCGGGCTGAGTCCAAAATTACTATTTTTTTATTGAATGATCAAACTGTCCTAAATATTGGGCCATCACCAGGTTTGCATCAGTTATTGTATCCCTCCTATCTTCTTTTGTAAGTTTACAAAGTAATCAAATCACATATGGGACTGGAATTCTCATCTCATCCAGTTGTATGTTAGCAATGGCGTATGTCCACATCACTTTTGTTTTGTTTGAGATATCTTACTTTCCTACAGGGAGCTGGTAATAAAATTGTCAAACAAATGTTAAATTTTGGCCCTAGTTGAGACTTTGGGTGTGCATTTGGTGATGTTTCCTAACATGTGTTTTGGCATAAAATTTAGCATTACATTTAATTATTTTCACTTGTTTGAATATATTGAAACCTTGAACAGCTACTATGATAATGTGGGATTTTCTTATATTGTATTTGAATAGTGCCTTTGCTACATACATACCAATTTAAGTGATGCTTCCGCCTTGTAATGTGTAGATTTGGGATGCCTCTCGCTGTCGGAGAGTGAGAAGTATGGAGGGCCATAGATTACGTGTTGGTGCCCTAGCATGGAGTTCATCCTTGTTGTCTTCAGGAAGCCGGGACAAGAGTATTCTTCAACGCGATATCCGTGCTCAGGACGATTTTGTTAGTAAGCTGACTGGACACAAGTCTGAGGTCAGACTTCTCTCTTAATTCAGCTTGGTTGAGCACCTTGGGTCAATAAAATTTGAGTTTTACTTGATGATATCTGCTTCTTTATTTAATGTCACTGCTAATTGTCTTTTTCCATTAATGATTACTGGATTTGTGTTTTGTTTATACTTGGAAATTCTTGAGCCTGAATATCAACTGGTTGTGGCTTAGGTTTGTGGACTGAAGTGGTCTTATGATAACCGTGAGTTAGCTTCGGGAGGAAATGATAATCGAGTATGTTCTCTTTTCTTTCTTAAATCTCACTGTTCATGGTACTTGGTACTTGGTACTTTGATAGGCATTCCCACATGATCTACTGATAACTAACTTCTGATTAAGAATTTCCCATCTCTGGCAGCTTTTTGTATGGAATCAGCATTCAACACACCCTGTGCTAAAATATTGTGAGCATACAGCTGCTGTAAAAGCAATTGCATGGTCCCCTCATCTTCATGGACTTCTAGCTTCTGGAGGTGGTACTGCTGACCGATGCATTCGTTTCTGGAACACAGCCACTAACACACATCTGAGCTGCATGGACACTGGAAGCCAGGTGATCTATGTGTCAATTTGTTCATTATTGATCTCATCTCCTCCTCCCTTGGTATATGGTTTGATTCATGCTCTGTAAAGGAAATAAAAAGTGGCATCACCTTTGCTTAGCTGTTTTTTTAGGGTTATCTTTAAGTATGTTATGATACTATACCGGTATGAATGCTGGCAGACGAGTTCTCTTATTGCTAATCATCTGAAGACATGATACTATACCATTATGAATTTTTTTAGGGTTACCCTGATGTATAAGTGTAAAAAAAAAAAAAAATCATTGTTGCTTCAAACCAAAAATTGTTAAAGTTTTGTTAAATAATTTAATTTTGTAAAATACAATTCTAAATGGTAATGACAGTAGTACTATATAATATATATATGTTCTCACAAAATATTGATAAAACATTTATGAAAAATGCTAAATTCTAAATTCAACATGACTTATTGTTTTGGTAGATTGCATTGTGTTTTGGTGCAGTTTGCTTTATTCAGGTTTGTTTAATGGAAACACAAAAGTTTCGATATTCCACAAGTGTTTTGTTTCGGTATCTTATGAAATTGGGTCGTTTTGACGGAAGCAAATATAAGTTTTGTTTTTGTTAAGACTTGATTTAACTGTCTCACACTAGTCAGACTTAGCGTTTACCTTTATGACAAGCAGTGTCCTTAAGTGTGAGGCTTTGTTACATGGACTCTTTTGTTCCCCAAAAGCACCCATTAATCAATCTTTGTGGTTTACAGTAATCAAAAGAAGGAAGTCATTATAAGTCTGTCTCCTCACACAAACACACACACACACGATGACATGTGCTCACTACAATTACTAAGTTGTACTAATTCAATTGTACCATGGCAGGTTTGCAATCTTGTGTGGTCTAAGAATGTCAATGAACTTGTCAGCACGCATGGATACTCCCAGAACCAAATAATAGTTTGGAGATATCCTACAATGTCAAAGGTATAGAAAGTTTAATCATGACATGTAATCTGAAGAAAAATTCTCATTCTTATTTGTTTCAAATTTTTGTTGATGATGCAGTTAGCAACACTAACGGGTCATTCATATAGAGTTCTTTACCTTGCCATCTCACCAGATGGACAGGTAACTTAATAGACCTTGTTTATCTATCTATTCCTTTTAACAAGCTAGAATACTTGTCTATTATACCTTTTTTCTTTTCTTTTTTGCCCTTTCTTATACTTGCATAATTACAAAATTGTTGTTGCAGACAATTGTTACAGGAGCCGGAGATGAAACACTGAGGTTCTGGAATGTATTCCCTTCGCCTAAATCTCAAGTAAGTAATTTAGTACGTACTATGCTCTTTTTTGATGAACAATATTGCCCAAAATCCCATCTGATTGGTTTTTTCATTTATACAAACTTGTTATATGTCCTTAGAAATTGATCTTGTGTTCGGAAGCGAGTATCCCCTCCAGCAGGAAAAATATAAAAAATAAAATAAAAAATCGGGTTTCTTCCTGAGTCTTGAGTACATTCTCATGTCCCTGTTTAGTGAAAGACAGAACAATTCATGTCTCTGGTACTGTGAATGCAGAACACTGACAGCGAAATTGGAGCATCATCTCTTGGAAGATCTCAGATACGGTGACCCCTGCAGACCTTTGGTTTATCGGCCTTCCAGCGTCTAGAGTTCCTTCTGCTGCTGCAGACCAACAAGAAAATCATAGTTTGTCAAGCAAAAAATGGTAATGTGAAACAAAGCTCAGCTAAATGATCTGCTTGAATGAGAGTCCATGCATTGCCAGAGCATTCGCAGGGAGCTAGAAGTTCAGATATGGGTGGAAACGATAAATTATGGCGACATATCCTGCAAATTGATGATTTTTTTATGTTTTACTTTGTGATCAACTTATACGTGTACAACGGGAGGCATTATGAAGAACTCGATAATTGCTCCCTTGAATTTCAAAAATTATTTGGCAATGCAACAAATGGATGGCGGAGATTTTGATTTGTGGTATAGTCATGTCAGTGCAGCATGTGGCACTGAATAGTTTGTTCTTGAATTATGTAATTAATAGAGATACTATGTTTAGTTTAGAACATCAAGGTGTAGTATGCACCTACATTTCTTGTGAATAAATTATTATTATTTTTTTCCATATATATGAGCATAAAATTGTATAGTAATTCACTAATTCTTGTGAGACACAATTTACAGGCATATGTATTATGTTTGGAATTTACAGGTATAAATATTATGTTGCACAACAAGTGTCTAAATCTATAACTATCAAATTGAAGCATTGCATTACATAGATTTGGGCCATAAATAATGAACAACTTCTTAGTCTTTGGTGGCTCAAATGTGAAGCGCTTTTAAAGCAAGATACCGAAACAGATGCCAACTAGAACAACAGCTCAGAGACGAACAAGCTCTTTAAACAATGTGAAAAACATGTTATAAGGCCCCAAATGAAGTGCATATTTGTTTGGGTTGGGTGGATTTTCAAAATTAATGTTTTAACTTTTTATTTTTCGTTTTTTCGTCTTTAATTAAATAAAAAAAAATAAATCATGTGTTTGGTCAATTTTTGTTACTTTTGAAATGTTTCTAAAAAGTTTTTAAAAAGATTTGACCAAATATATATATAACCAACACATTCCTGCATATATATTTTTATTTTTAATGAACTTTTAAAAAAAAAAAAATTATACATACTCTGGAGTATACTTTTTAGGTGTATCTAAACTAGGTGCCGTTAAAATAAAATTAAAAAAAAAGGACTAAAGGATGAAAACATTTATCAAAGATTAAAAATAAAAAAAAAAGTCGGAAAACAAATTTTGAAAGCCAAACTAAAATTAGTCAAGGTTAGGTGTATCCTCCAAAGGCATATTATAAGCAAGCCAGACTTAACATGTGATTGAAACGCAAATTTTCCGTGGAAAATGTCTTTAGCTAATATGCCAACCAACCAAACAACCACCAAAATCAGATTTCATTGTTGTTTTTTGATTCTTTGTCACAAAAACACCATACTGTTCGTCAGCACTCCTCATTTTGAAGAAATGCAACTTTTCGTTTTTTCGTCTTTAATTAAATAAAAAAAAAATCATGCGTTTGGTCAATTTTTGTTACTTTTGAAATGTTTCTAGAACGTTTTTAAAAAGATTTGGCCAAATATATATATAACCAACACATTCCTGCATATATATTTTTATTTTTAATGAACTTTTAAAAAAAAAAAAATTATACATACTCTGGAGTATACTTTTTAGGTGTATCTAAACTAGGTGCCGTTAAAATAAAATTAAAAAAAAAGGACTAAACGATGAAAACATTTATCAAAGATTAAAAATAAAAATAAAAAAGAGTCAGAAAACAAATTTTGAAAGCCAAACTAAAATTAGTCAAGGTTAGGTGTATCCTCCAAAGGCATATTATAAGCAAGACAGACTTAAAATGTTATTGAACGCAAATTTTCCATGGAAAATGTCTTTAGCTAATATGCCAACCAACCAAACAACCACCAAAATCAGATTTCATTGTTGTTTTTTTGATTCTTTGTCATACAAACACCATACTGTTCTTCAGCACTCCTCATTTTGAAGAAATGCAACTTCCACATGCCAAAAAACAAGTGGGAGACAACAAAAGTCAAAAAGTGTGATTCACCAAGCTCAATGAATATGGCAACCATTTTTTAGTCATTTTTTAGAAATTTTAAAAAGGATCTAAAAAATTTAAAAATGTTCTCCCAAAAAAAAAAATGTTAAGGTTTTCTTTTCGTTGAAATTTTAAAATTTTGGTCCATCTATTTAAATATTTTAGGATCATTTAGTTTTGAAAAACTTTAAATATATATATATATATAAATAATATTTAAAACATCCATTTATCCCATTTCTTTTTGTTTTCCTTGCTAATTATCTCTGGTGTCAGGTCGGTTGTTGTTTTTTCTTTGGTTTGCTATCATGTTTTTTAAGACTATGTACGTTTTGCTTTAAAAAAGATTAGAACAATTGTTGGTACTCTTTACAAGAGTTGTTTATAATTTTTTATTCTACGTCAGAATATTTAGTGTAATTTTTATTTATAATTTGTGACATAAAAATAACTTAAACAATCTAATAATAATAATTATTATTAATATATTGCGAATTTTTTTTTTTTTTGAATGCTAATATATTGATTAGTTGAGAAATAAGTAGTATTGCTTTTTAATTATAAATTATCATCTTGCTAGAAATTACATCAAATCAACTTGTTGTATTTACATTTAGGATTGATTATATCAAAACTTTTCGACTATTAATAAATATCACTTCACCCCTACATTTATGAACACACTGATCTCTCAATAATGAAAATTGTATAAATGTATCATTTTTGAAAACATTTTGGAAAGGATTTGAAAAGGTTGGAAGTGATACATAATATTAATTAATAGTTGAGAGAGTTTTGATGTAATTAATCCTTGCAATACTTGTAGAACAACCATGTGAGGAATATAAATCAAATCACAGAGTAGTCCCCCCCACCAGAGCTTCCCTAGTTTTGTTGCTATAATATAGGAAGATCTTCATACCAAGGATGAATCATGCACATGCATGTTCATTGGAGGAAAGCAGCATGTGCAGTCTTCTTGGCATGGATGTGGCACCAGAGGATCACAGCTGCTTGATTGAATTTCATGACTTCTTTCCTGGTGAGCCCTATTGACCCCACCAGAAGGAGCTGCAGCAGCCTTGAGTGGTCCCCAACATTCCACCTTGTTGAATTCTGGAAAAGTGGAGTGAAAATAAACCCAAACCAAAGATTCCTCTAATTCTGGATAGTTATTGAACAAATTCCCATCTCCATGAACAAAGGCCTTCAAAACCTGTTCATTTTCATACTAATTATTATCAAAAAATAAAAAAAAATTTACTAATAATCATTTAATGGGTTATTGTTAATCTCGATGTTTGTGCAAAAAAATTATAAAAATGTGATATATTGATGTAGTTTTTTTGTGTACTTTTGCCGCATTTGAATTTGATTTTATTATATTAAATAATAGAGACAACTTGTTGTCACTTCCAGTGAAGTTTATAAACAAAAATTGTATTACCAAAAATAGGATAAATTATAGATTACTTATATATATATATAATAATAAAAAAAAAATTTTGGGAGAATTGTGTCACAGTGGGACAAAAAAAAAAAAAAATTTACACAAACAACATAACTTTTCATTTGTACCCCATCACATAATTATTTGCACCCCGCATATCTTTGTATTTTTTTTTTCTATCCCATTGTGTTGTAATTCCTCCTAAAAATTTTGGGAGAAGAATATAGAATTTACCACAGGGAGTTCTTTGGAGAAGATGAAGAATCTTAGGCTGGCACACAAATCTAATAGAAAGTGACCACCACTTATGTGACAGTGAACATGGAGAGACATTTTTCCTCTAACCTTCTTCCACTCTGCGATCACTTCATCTCTCTGTAATCTATGATACCATCCCTGTAACTGCATCTCCAAATTCCATTTCTTCTTTGTCAAGTTTCTAAAAACAAATTTTGCTTTTTTTAAGTAACAACTTTCTTAAACCAAAAGTTTTTTTTAATATTATTTATGAAACTCTGTACAATCCTGTGTTTCAATATTTCAATATTAACATTTAAAATGAACTTGAAACCTGAAAGTCTGAAAGAGACAATCTGAAAAAACTAATTAAACAGAACATTTTGTGTCTTTTGGATCTGCGTTTGATAAATTATGAATTTAAAGTCAACTCGAAACAAATCAAAATAGCAACAACTCATATTACAATAAAAAGTAAAAGAAAAATCCCCTCTTTTCCTCTGCTTTTCAACTTGATAGATAGACTAATTAAATTTAAAACCCAAATATGGAAAATAAGAAAGTAACACTCTGATTCAATGATTGAAAGGGAAGAAATTTAAAAATAAAAAAATAAATAAAAAAACAACAACAACAACAACAACAACAACAACAACAACAATCGGAATAAGTCTAGGAACACAGAAAAATCGGATAAAAAATTTATATCCATAGACAAGAATTCATAAATGCCATGTGTTCCATTGGTTTTTGTATGGTCAGTAGTAAAACTATAAAAATGATTTATTTCATATGAGTGTTTTGACGAATTTTACCTGGGAATTGTTAATGGTTTGAGAGATGGCAAGAGTGAGCTTAGAGGTTAAATCACAGTGTGTAAGTGTATAAGTTCTAGGAAGCTTCCCTGGATGCTTCTTTTCATCAGTTCCTAGGAACAAAACCTTCAGCTTTGAAGCTTCAAATATAGCTGGCCCAAATAACCTTGCAACCTGTTCCAATCAAACCCTTCAATCAATATATATATTATATTCATGTAATAGTAAATTATGGAGAAGAAAGTTACAGGGACAATAGATTGGTGCTTCTTGGGAAGTGTTCTTGTGTAGATGAAAAGAGAGCTTTGTTGTTGAGAGATTGAGAAAGGCTTTAGACCTGATGGAAGCACAAGAGAAGTGGTCAGAGTACCCATCTCTAGGCAGAGACACAGAGAGACAGAGTGCTCAGACCTCTATTCTTGAAGCTCCAACCTCTGAGGAATACACAAATAATAATAATAGCATATATATATAACCATATACTACAATAAATTAGTTAGGCAGAGAGGGAGAGAGAGAGAGTTTTGATTTTTTGTGCCTTTGATGTTACTTTTGCTTTTATGGGTTGGGTTTGCTTTGCTTTGCAGTTTGAACTTTGAAAGATAGCTTCCATTTCAACCCAAAACAAAATAAACAAATTACCCATGTGTGAAACAGATTAATAAGTTTAAATTTACATCATATATTCTCTAGGTAAATTTTGGAATAAAATAAATGGGTTCTTAACTTTTCGGAGAAAAAAATAGTGAAATCCGTACAACAAATCCACCTGTTAAGGTTTAACTCTAGAAAAATTATATTTGGCTCTCGTTGTTTGCTTGGAACTTAGCAGATCTTCAAGGTTTTTGTGTAATAGTAAGTATTTGAGGTTTACTATATAAAGAAGAGTCTAAAGGCCTTTTCTTGAACAAATTATTTATTGTTTGAATGTTAGTGAAGAAGTTAATTTATTATCTAAAAATAGACTTAAAAAAGGACAATGTTAAAAAAATTAGTTTATTTATTAGCATATTTATAATTTCTTGACATTTTTAATAACTTTTTATCATAAAGATGATTTGTACCCTTGCTAACTTTTTTATTTTAAATAAAATGATTAATTTGTCACGATGATAATTGTATTGTAATGTACCAAGTACGAAAATTGATGAGCTAAAAACACATTAGTCTAACAGGTTGACTTTTTAATCTCAACCCAAAGAAAGAATCTTGAGACTACAAGACACTTGGCATTTTTAACAACAATAATTCTAGTATCATAAAAATTTAACCAAAATTTTATCATGAAACTCAAGTAAAAGGTGCAGCTTTAAAGTTCGTGTATTATTGATCATATGCAGAATAAATTGTTCAATTTTGGGTAAAATTTTGAATAATTTTTGTAAATATGTAATAATTATTTTAATAATATGATAATAAATGATTATTTATTTCTTATTTTCCAGACAAAATAATCATATATTCAACAATTATTAGCAGCCAAGTAGTGGTTGCTTCGTCATATTAAAAATTAAATAAAAAAGGAAAAAAGAAATAAAAAAGAGAGATTGGGTGTAGAGAAAAGCTAAAGGGTTCGCTGCTTCAAATATCAAACTTCTTTACCTTACCAAAAAATAAACTAGCATTAATAAATGGATGTTCAATTCATTCACTTGTGTTTGGAAGTAAAATAAAATAATAATAAAAAAATGGAATTAAATGTTTCTACATTAAAAATAAAAAATAAAAAATAAAAAATTTTAATACTTAATTTTCTGAGAAATTCTATTTCCACACCTACTTACCTCGTGTACACACTTAATGAAATTTTATTTTAATGACAATCATACCTTAAAATAAAATGATCATAATAAACATCAAAATCCTAGCTAACTCATCTCATCTCTTCTTAACTATCTTTTTCTACCACCACCACCATCAAACAAACCCTTTTGTTTTCTTCCATTCTCTCTCTCTTTAGAATGAAGTCAATTTATTTCGGTTACAAATCAATGAAAAAAAACAGAGAGGAAGATGATCAATTATCAAAATTATTTATTTTCGTTCGAAAAACAATTTTCAAATCGAATTGTTTGCTGCCTCTTTCAATAAATATGTTAGATTCATTTCAGAAATAAGTGGACTAGTAACAATGGTGGAAGCTGTGCAGTCCGCATTGTCATATTGCTGTTTGTTGGAAACTTAAGCCCCGTTTAACGACATCACTTTTTAGTTTAAAAGTCAAAAAGTCACTAAAAAACCAACAACTTATACCAAAAAATCAAAGATTCTCTTTCATCTCTACTTTTTGCACATCTTTTCGTAAAAAAAATCAAAAAATCATCCAAATATACTAGTTTTTTTTCTATCATATTTTAGCCAAAAAATCAAAAAGTTACTAAAAAAACATGTTCTCAAACGAGACCTTAGAAAGTAGTGCTACATCCATACTTGGTAAAGCATATCTGTCCTTGTGAGAGAGATAAAGGGATCCATGGTTTGGTTCACCAGAAGAAATTGTCGATTTTTGGTGACTATGTGGGGTTGTGTTTGGATGAAAAATGTGTGTATAATATTTGAGTTAAAAATTATAATTAAAATACGTGTTGAGTGTGTTAAGTTTTAATATTTTAAAAGTTAGGTTGCTTTAGTGGTTTGTTACCACTTTGTCAATAAATCCCTATCTTTAAGGGTTAGTTGGTTAATTGAATTAGTCTTACCATGTTTTTAGGATTTGTTAAATGTGGGCTGTTATTTTTGTTTTGCTCTGTAAGGCTATAAAGTAGCCAAGTTTGCTATTCAATAAAACATAGAGATTTCTCCTAAATTTCCTTATCTTTTCCATAAGATTTTCTAGTTCTTTACATTTAGTATTAGAGCTCCGTCAAGGGGCCTGATTAAAATTAGAAGCAGCAGTCTTCTACATGTATAGTGGTTGAAGCACGATGGCAGAAAGTCCTTTTGTGCAGCCAGCAGTTCCGAAATTTGATGGGCATTATGATCATTGGGCGATGCTCATGGAAAACTTCTTGCGTTCTAAGGAGTACTGGGGCTTGGTGGAGAATGGGATTCCTGCAGCAGCAAAAGGTCTCACAGATGCTCAGAGAAAGAGCATTGAAGATCAGAAGTTGAAAGATTTGAAAGTAAAGAACTATCTATTTCAATCAGTAGATCGTTCGATCCTGGAGACAATCCTCAATAAGGATACATCAAAGAACATATGGGATTCTTTGAAGCAGAAGTATCAAAGTACAACACGAGTGAAGCGTGCTCACTTGCAAGCTCTCCAGCAGGAGTTTGAAATTCTTCACATGAAGGCTGGAGAATCTGTGAATGAGTTTTTTTCTCGGACCCTTACCATAGCCAACAAGATGAAAGCAAATGGTGAGGACAAGGGAGATGTTGCTGTAATTAAAAAGATTTTGAGATCCATGACTCCAAAGTTTGACCATGTCGTGTGTTCCATTGAGGAGTCTAAGGATATAGACACCTTAACCATTGATGAGTTGCAAAGCAGTTTGCTTGTGCATGAACAACGCATGAGTTCTCATGTGGAAGAAGAACATGCTTTGAAGATTACTCATCAAGATCAATTTGAAGGAATGGGTCGAGGCCGTGGAAGTTCTAGAGGAAGAGGAAGGGGACGAGGCAGACAAAGATTCAACAAGGCCACAGTGGAGTGCTATTACTGTCATAAGCTTGGGCATTTTCAATGGGAATGTCCAAGCAAGGAGAAGGAAGCCAATTATGCTCAGACTCAAGAAGAGATGTTACTGATGGCTTATGTTGATATGAATAAGGAAAATGAAGAAGCTTTGTGGTTCCTTGACTCGGGATGTAGCAATCATATGTGTGGAAAGAAGGAATACTTCTCGGATTTTGATGAAAGTTTCAAAGATTATGTGAAATTGGGCAACAACTCAAGTATGGTTATAATGGGAAAGGGCAATGTACGGCTACAAGTTAATGGAAAAGCACAGATTATCACAAGAGTATTTTATGTGCCACAACTGAAGAACAATTTGCTAAGTCTTGGGCAATTGCAAGAAATGGGGCTTACCATTCTGTTTCAAGGTAAAAAGTGTAAAGTGTTTCATCCTGAGAAAAGCTTAATAATGGAGACGAAAATGGCTCTGAATCGAATGTTCATACTGCATGCTATATCTTAGCCTATAGCATCTACTTGTTTCAACATGATCACGGAAGATATGTTGCAACTTTGGCATTGTAGATATGGACACTTGAGTGTTAAGGGCCTAAAGACTCTTCAGCAGAAGAAGTCATAAGCTTGGGCATTTTCAATGGGAATGTCCAAGCAAGGAGAAGGAAGCCAATTATGCTCAAACTCAAGAAGAGATGTTACTGATGGCTTATGTTGATATGAATAAGGCAAATGAAAAAGCTTTGTGGTTCCTTGACTCGGGATGAAGCAATCATATGTGCGGAAAGAAGGAATACTTCTCGGATTTTGATGAAAGTTTCAATGATTATGTGAAGTTGGGCAACAACTCAAGTATGGTTGTAATGGGAAAGGGCAATGTACGGCTACAAGTTAATAGAAAAGCACAGATTATCACAAGAGTATTTTATGTGCCACAGCTGAAGAACAATTTGCTAAGTCTTGGGCAATTGCAAGAAAATGGGCTTACCATTCTGTTTCAAGGTAAAAAGTGTAAAGTGTTTCATCATGAGAAAAGCTTAATAATGGAGACGAAAATGGCTCTAAATCGAATGTTCATACTGCATGCTATATCTCAGCCTATAGCATCTACTTGTTTCAACTTGATCACGGAAGATATGTTGCAACTTTGGCATTGTAGATATGGACACTTGAGTGTTAAGGGCCTAAAGACTCTTCAGCAGAAGAAGTCATAAGCTTGGGCATTTTCAATGGGAATGTCCAAGCAAGGAGAAGGAAGCCAATTATGCTCAGACTCAAGAAGAGATGTTACTGATGGCTTATGTTGATATGAATAAGGCAAATGAAGAAGCTTTGTGGTTTCTTGACTCGGGATGTAGCAATCATATGTGCGGAAAGAAGGAACACTTCTCGGATTTTGATGAAAGTTTCAGAGATTATGTGAAGTTGGGCAACAACTCAAGTATGGTTGTAATGGGAAAGGGCAATGTACGGCTACAAGTTAATAGAAAAGCACAGATTATCACAAGAGTATTTTATGTGCCACAACTGAAGAACAATTTGCTAAGTCTTGGGCAATTGCAAGAAAATGGGCTTACCATTCTGTTTCAAGGTAAAAAGTGTAAAGTGTTTCATCCTGAGAAAAGCTTAATAATGGAGACGAAAATGGCTCTAAATCGAATGTTCATACTGCATGCTATATCTCAACCTATAGCATCTACTTGTTTCAACATGATCACGGAAGATATGTTGCAACTTTGGCATTGTAGATATGGACACTTAAGTGTTAAGGGCCTAAAGACTCTTCAGCAGAAGAAGATGGTGAATGGTTTACCACAATTT